CCATGGCACGGGGTGGAATGAGAGGGGCTTTAGGGTCCCTTCCAACCCAAACTGAGCTGGGACTCCGTGATTCCCATGATCTACTTGCGACCAACAACAAAACAAAGTTACAAATCTCTAGGGCAGAGATTTCCTCTCCTGAAAAATGTGAACAAGGAACGTGGGTTTAACCCTGGAAGCATCTAAATGAGTCAAATGTTAAATCCAAGGATGAATCCTGCTGTTCTGAATCATCCCTGTGATGCAGCAGCCCCACGGGAGGGGATTTCCCTTGAGGCTGCACTGATGAACTGTGGAAATCAGGCACAGGAAGCTGTTTGGAGCAGCCCATCATTGCTCACTGACCCACAAGATTTAGGGAGCACCTAATTCTGCAAGCACTGCCCCACAGAGTGAGCACAAACCTGGGCTCTTCCCTCACAGAATCACTGAGGTTGGAAAAGACCTCTGAGACCATCAGTTCCACTCCCCACCTGGTCCCCCAGCCCAGAGCACTGAGTGCCACACCCAGTCCTTCCTTGGACACCTCCAGGGTGGGGACTCCACCTGTGCCCACTGCCCTGGGGAGCCTGGTCAGTGCCCAAACACCCTCTGGGGGAAGAACCTTTGCCTGAGATCCAACCTGACCCTGCCCTGACACAGCTCCAGGTGTTCCCTCAGCATGGCATGAAAGCTGGCAAGTGTCTGGGATTTCAGCTGTGCTTCTGTTTTATTCCATGGCTGTCTCAGAAAAAGGCCCTACAAAGAGCTGGGGGAAAAGCAGGTGAAAGTGCAGAAAAACCCCAGACTCTCCAACTTTCACACTCCATCAGCTGAGGCTGCAAAAAACCTGGTGCTGCTGCACCCAGGGCTGGGGACAGGCAGGGAATGAGAAGCCAGCACAGGCCTGGACCACGGGCAGAGCTGCCCCAGGCACAGCCCAGCTGTGGAGGATCAGACAGATCCCTAAACTTGTGGGTTCTGCAGGGACCTCCATGTCTGGGAACACCCAGGTCAGGCTTTGGTCACTTTTTTAGGAATGAGGAGGGTCCAGCTCCCCCCTCCATCCTGCAGGCACACACTGGGATGTCCTGTACAATTCGTGTTTCCAGAGCTGTTGGGTTTGATAAAAATGATTTTGTTTTGCTCACACCTTTCCCCCTTTCACTACAACCACACTTGAGGCTCTGTGGTCCTCAAGTCACCAGGGCAGGGTGACTTTTCATCAGGAGAAAAGGACACAAGTGGACCTCCTCAGAATCACAAAGGCACCAGGCAGCCCAAACTCCTCCACCCCTGGGAGCTGCCAGCCTGGCCTTGCTCCAGAGATCCTGGCAACTCCCTGGGAGCTCAGTGAACATTCCAGACAGCAGGACCATGGTGGGAAACAGATGGGATTCACAGCTCCTTTTGGCTGGCCTTGCCCTCGACCTGCACTTTAGATCTTGCGAGGACAGGGAGGAGAATTCCCACTTCCCAGGAGCCACCTTTGTGATGTTTTACCTGTTTCATTTGTAGGTGCTTTAACAGCAGCAGAGCAGGCAGGAAGCTGGCCCTGTGAGAGCAGCAGCTTGGTGTTAAATCATGTGCAAATATGATTTGTGAAGGTCCCACTGCCAACACAACCTACGTTTGATGCTTCACAAGCAGCACGAGACACATTCCCAGGGCAGGACTGGGAGACAGCAGCCCAAGCTTTGCTCCTGGATTAACCTGGAGCAGTTTCAGAATGGCTCAGGGTAAAGGGAGCACTGGAGGTCACCCAGTCCCACCTCCCTGCTCAACAGGGGCCCCTGGAGTGTTCCCTCAGGATTCTCTCCAGATTTGGAATATTTCCAGGGACAGAGACTCCACAGCCTCTCTGAGCCCCAGTGCTTGGTCACCTGCACAGGAAAGTCCTTCCCCCTGTTCAGGAACACAAAAGTCCAGTTCCACCAAACCAGCCCCCCCTGCTCTGCACCACCTACAGCTGCTGAGGAATTGCAGTGCCTGGTCCAACAGAAAACACCCCATCAGCTGGATACCCCTCAGGAACAGCCACTGCTCCAGGGGAGCCCATCTGCTCCCTCCTGCAGCCAATTCCCCCCTGCAGCCACCCCTCCTGCTGCCCCAGCACCTTCCTGCAGATCCTGGGCAATAATCCAGACCCTGGGAGAGAAATTTTAGCAGCCCAGCCAGTGCAGGTACCTCCCTCTCTCCTGCACCCCCTGCAAGTGGTGGCAGAACTATTTTGTTTCCTCCTCCTGCAACACACTCACCCCTTTAAAGTCCTGCTGCAGCTGTGACATTTTCCTCTGGGGCTGTAAATTCCCTGTAGGAATAACTGAGTTGTTTGCAAAACTGAAGAGACACTGGCAGGAAAATGTTGATGAAGTGCTGTCACCACTTTGCAGGGGAGGAAAAGACCCTGCAGAACGTTTTTCTGAGACCAAGGCACACACAGCTCAGCCTCTTGGGAAGAATTTCATCCCCTTCTGCAGTGCAAAAACGGACCTAAATTAGGATTCATTGCTGGTTTTTTTCCCTGTTAGGGCTGAGGGAAACTGCCATCATGAGCAGCTGGTAATGAGGCTGCTACAATATCCCAGTGCCAGCTAAAGCACTTATTTCAGAATAATTTCACTTCGACGCTAACAGAGCTTTTCCCAGCCTGGAAGAATCCATGTGCTGTGCTGCTTCAAGGGAAAATCCAGCCTCTGGAGGGAACAGAGCACCATTTCCTCAGGATCTTTGGTCCTACCCCCTCTCCAGCTGTCCCAGTAACAGCCAGAGCTCTCAGCTGTGAGAGCCAAGTGTCAAACACCAGGTAGCACAACAAGCACCAAGCTTGGAATACACAGGAACATTCCCAGATGTTTTAACAGCTCAGAGTGCTCCAGGTGAACTGAGGTTCCTCCTAGTACCAGATCCCCAAACAACATTTACATTTCCTTAAGAGTTCTGCCAAAACAGAGCATTTTCAGTGAGGTTAAACCTTCTGATAATTCCTCACTGTGCTTCTCAACAGCCACACTTCCATCCCTGCCTCAATCCTTCCAGAATGGGCACAGACACCTTTCTACATCCAGTAGGGATGGTGCCTTTCCTCCAGGAAAGTGTTCTTCATAGGACAAACTCCTCTTGTTCATGAGAAGCAGCTCCTCAGAGCAGGCTGGGCTGGCACAAAAAGCCAGAATATTCACTGCTCAACACCAGTTCTGAGGCTCAGCCGGGGTTTAAGGGCCATTTCTTATTTACAGAATGTCTGGGAAATGCTTAAATGGCTCATTTTTCTTCCAGAGAACACACAGGAGAGCACAGTGCAGAGGCTGTACTGCTCCCCCCAGTATCACCAGTCAAGGAACTGGGAAACAAGAAACACCAGCCTGGGCCCTTTACAACACAGGATTCCCCTCACACAGACTCACAGCTCTCATGATGCAACAAACCATAAAATAAATTCAACTCACGAACGAAAATGTCTGTTCTCATCCTGGTCACCAGGAAAAAAAATCCAGAACTTCCTCTGCTTCAAGGCAGGGGCAAATTTGGGCAAAAAAATCCAACCTGCTCCACCAGAACCTGGGCCAGAGGCTCCTCCTGGTAGTACCAGCCTGGAGGGCAAGGTAGGGACTGCCAGGTACATGGAGTTGCATTCCTGGCTCCAGTAGTTCCTGGGAATGCTGACTGCACATCCATTCCTTGGATTCTCTTCTGACAGGGACCAGTCAGAGCCCTTCCACTCCACAGGCACAGGGTTCAAGGAATCTCCCACTTTGGAAGGGACCCCCCAAGGATCATCCAGTCCAGCTCCTGGCCCTGCACAGACACCCCAACAATCCCACCCTGTCCCTCAGAGCCTTGTCCAAACCCTCCTGGAGCTCTGGCAGCCTTGGGGCTGTGCCCACTGCCCTGGGGAGCCTGGGCAGTGCCCAACCACCCTCTGGGGGAAGAACCTTTTCCTGAGATCCAGCTTAAACCTCCCAACCCAGCTCCAGCCGTTCCCAGCATGAGGCAGGGACAAACTGAACCAGCACCACTGTTTGCAGACAACTGGGTCTTTTATTAAGTATTTAAAGTGCTACAAAAAACTGAAGGAGCCTTCTTGGAGCAACTTCCTTTTCTGCAGTCTTAGCTCTGTTGGAAGAAGCAAACACAGCTCATTAGTGGAGTCATTTAGCAATTCAATCTGATGCAGCAAACAGAGCTGGGCACTCACAGCCGGGCACTCGATGGCTCCGCTGTTGATGTCGTCGATGATGTCGTGGGGGTGTCTGCCATCGATGCTGCAGCCCACGGACTGGGCAGTGCCCAGGATCTCCTTGATGGTCCCTGCAGCAGGAACACACAGCTTGTCAGTGCTTTAGCACAGGGAAACATCTGAGAACTCATTTGGAACACCCTGGGCTAGTGGAAGGTGTCCCTGCCCGTGGCAGGAGGCACAATGAGATGAGCTTTAAGGTCCCTTCCAACCCAGACCAGTCTGTGATTCTGTAACACAGAGAACTCCTCACACCTCTCAGCTGCCCCTCCCTCTGGGGGTCTGCAGGCTGGAGCTCACCAGGAGACAGTAAGTCACCTATCCAGCTCTCATGTCCTGGTTTCCCAGGGAATGCACTGGGAAGTGCTACCTGTGCCTGTCCCCTCCCCAGGGGCTGGGGCTCCCAGCCAGCACAGGCTGTCCCTGTGGTGCTCAGCACACACGGCTGTGGGCCCTCCCAGAACTCGAGCAGAACCTGGCTCAGACACCTGCAGCAGGCAGAGGGAGCACTCCAAACCCCTGCAGCAGGCAGAGGGAGCACTCCAAACCCCTGGAGCAGGCACAGGGAGCACTCCAAAGCCCTGGAGCAGGCACAGGGAGCACTCCAAACCCCTGGAGCAGGCAGAGGGAGCACTCCAAA